GAGAGAGAGAGAGAGAGAGAGAGAGAGAGAGAGAGAGAGAGAGAGAGAGAGAGAGAGAGAGAGAGAGAGAGAGAGAGAGAGAGAGAGAGAGGCGCGACGAGGACAATATAGAATAGGGAAACCAAAGCCCTTGTGACTTGTTCCGTTCGTGCGCGCGATCAGAGGACGGTAAGACAGATAGGTACATACTCCTTTCACCAGGACTAACCAGCCACATGGTAAAACAAAGCGCGTTTTGTGAGATCAATCAGTATGTGAATTCAACGAATTTTTCTGTTTTGGATTCTTTGTGAAACGAAAATAGGTAAGTAAATATTTGTTTTTCGCTATTGTTTCGCAACTCATTTTTTTTCTTCAAATTGCGCAATAAATCTATAGTCATAAGTTCAACAGAGTTACAAATGGCCACGTGAGGAAGGGTATTTCTATAAAAGTTATTCAGTCCCTTAGATTTACGAAATGTAGGATATAGATCTAGATCTAGGTCGATGTATATAACAGGGCTGCTATCTACAGCTATTGTCATTCTAACACTTGAAGATTGTGTGAGATTTGCAGGGGTTATTATGGGTAGCTAAGTTTGCCAACTGCTATCAACCAGAATATTTCACGTTATTGGAACCTTATTGTGTGAGGAAGAAAGAGGGGGTCTACAGGGAATTCGGAATACAAGGAAATGCGCTGTGGGCCTTGTTTGATAAATTGAGGCAAAAGAATTTCATTCATGTACAAGGTCAGTTTTGGATTGCTTTAAAGGTGGAAACATGAATTGTTCGTGGAAGCATAATTATGCTGTCTCTTTTTCTATTATCATTATTTTTTCGTGAGATTAAATAATTAAAGTTTATTTTATCTCGCATTTTCTTTTCTTTTCCCTTTGCTTTGTCTTCGTTATCTTGTGTTGTTCATTCATGATTATGCAGGTGGGAAACCCAGATTTTAAACATCTAATCAATTAGAGTCGTGTGGAAGTTTCGAATCTGTCCTAATAAATTTCTCATGATTGAAATCTTGGTTGTGTTGACATTTATTTTCCGCTGTAAAATACATTGTAAAAGTAATTGTTAGTGCGCTTATTTACAATGGTGTTTAAGGTGTAGAACTAATTGTTTTTAGATCCCCAATGACACAAGGATTTAAAAGAAAAGTCAATTACTATAATTCTAATAGATTGCATTATGCCCCCTACAAAAGACATTGCATAAATATAGTTTATTTCAATTTTTGTTAATGGAATAAATGTTCTGTCTACTTGTTCGTTCTTTGGTTGTTGGTTGTTTGTGGGTTTGGTTTTAAAAAAAAAAATTTAAAACAGCAATTGTTACACAGAAGGCCAGATAAAAAGGACGTTTCAGCATTCACATTACTCACACAAAACGCTTATAATAACACGTCATCATTGCTATTATTTGATTTTGTAATATTATTTTAGTAGCCTTTCGTATGTCAAGTTGTCATGCAGTCACACGTAAACGTGGGAAAGGGCATACTGAACAACACAAAAAATGAAAGAAAAGAAAAGGGTTTACAAATTTTAAAAATACCCCCTCCCCCTCTCTGCCCCGTTAAAAGGCTTCATGATAAGCAAAAGCAAAAATCGAAATGAGAAAATACTTATAAATAAAGCCCCCTACCC